GATAGAGATGATTATGAGATGGGATGATGAATTTGACTTGATGCTTGAACACAAGCATCGTTTAAGTGTGGGGTAATTTGATAAGTCGTATTATTGGCATGTTAATTGTCATGTTTTTCATACTTTTTGGGTGTTTGTTTGAGCTTAATTAATTATTGATTTTAATTTATTTTTATATTTTTTGTAGGATATCTCAGAACTTGGAATTTTATGATGATGGAGGGCGAAAGAAACGAATTTGAGCTAAGGAGTGGACACGCTAATTTCCTACAAGAGTTGGTAGAAAGAAAGAGTCTTGAGTTGAAAAAAGAAATAAAAGACTTTATAGAGTATTTATTTATTTATGGACTATTATATTTTATTAGGTTATTTTGAAGAGACTGGTCTCTTTTACGTATTTTCTGCTAGGATTAGAATTCGACAGGTTTGGAAAAACCAAACTGCTAGATTTTAGTTTTAGGATCTTTTGTTTTTCTTCTTCTCTTCCCTCACGCACGCTCTCTTCTTCTCTTTTCTTCTTTTATTTTATTTTTCATGAATAATTGTGAGAAGACTCCCATGTTCATAGACAATTAATTTATTTTTCCTGCCAAATGATTATTCCAGATTTGGTTCTTCATGATTTGTGAGATCTAATTGAATTTGTATTCCCTAATTCTCTTTTATTTATATATCTCTTATGATTATTATCAATTGTGTTTTGATTGATTGATGCAAACTGGCCATTTGTTCAATTGTTGAAACGCATATCGTTATTTGGAACGTTAAATCCGTAATTGTTTGATTGTTCTAATATTTGAAGGCCATATGCAACCTGAGCGATGGATTATAAAGGCTGCCTTGCGAGATTGGAATGATTTTACCTGTACCAACTAAGGAGCAGGAAGGGAAGAAGCTGAGCTGGAGCTAGGCTATTTTAGCAGTGGTTTCAGGTTTAGTTTTTGCTTTCTGTTTGCATTTGCTGTAGATGTAATTGCAAGGGTCCTTTGTATTATTTTGGTCTCTCGGGTTGTTCATTTGCTGTTGATGTTGTACTGTAGTTATGGACCTTGTCTATGTATTTCGGCTAGGCTGCAAAGATCTTGCATGGCCTCTCAGTTACCCAGGCTGTATTTGAATATTGTATCATTACCATGTTATGGTTTAATCGAGATATTTATGTCGTTGGAAAAAAAAAAAATGAACCTAATATGCGTTTGTTGGCTAGAATTGGTGGTCCTTCTAGATTTCAATGCTGTTGATCGATAAAATCATAGATTGAATCTAGGGTTGTTTGTTGATTAAAGAAATAATTAGAGATTGTATCCTGATTATCGAATAAGTAAGGAAGGATAGGTTTTTAGGCCGTATCAGTAACCATAACAAATTTAATTGAGAATAGAAGCATTATCTTTGCATTTGTGATCGAATTGTCAAACCATCTCTACGAGTTATCCCTTTGGTTGGGTATTTTGTTAGTTTGGTTCACTTGTTTTGTTTTTGTCTTTCTTTATATCTTATTTTATTTTATTTTTCTTGGTTAGATAAAATCATCGAAGCCCATCATTTCTATTTTGATTTCTTTCATGAATAGTTGCATCATACTATGTCTAGTCAATCCCTATGGATATGACCATGCTTACCCACATTTATTTTAGAAGTAAGAATTTATTATTGTTGGATTCGACACCCATCAAACAACAAGTGCTTGTCTAAGAGGAATTACATCGTCAGTTCTAGGAAAACTTGCTTGATTTATTCCTTGCTTGAATTCGACGAAATCTATTTCGAGGTAAAAGATGGTAGGAACGGTGGTGTGCCGCCAAGACAACCATCCGTGTGGTAAAATAGCACCGGCAGTAAGCGAACAACAAAGAAGGGATAACGATTTGCTTATTAGGGTTTGAAACTTTGGGAGATAACTTTCTCTCATATTCTTCTTCAACTTTTTAATTGTTCGTCATTGTTGCGTGTATGGGACGTGTGTGCAGCAGTAAGCAAAAGAACTATCACGTTAAATGACTATTGCTGCAGAAAAAAACTAGTGTGAATAAGGGTATTTTCGTCAACTATTTGTGAATATAGAATTACCAAAAGAAAAGTTTCAAAATCAATTTCGTTTTTTACCAAAAGGGTGCCATGTGTCAACTTGACAAGGCCTTTCATATTTACCATACATATATCTACGAAGTTTCCTACTAATTTCTTTTGAATAACTCAACAGTAACAGATGTGACAACATGTGCATTTACCATTCTAACCACCAAAAGCAAATTAAAATAGGGTCAATTCAGGTTAATTTACAACTCAACAAGCACGTGACAACATGTGCATTTACAATTCTCACCACCAAAAGCAAATTAAAATAGGGTCAATTCAGGTTAATTTACACTCAACAAGCACACAAAACGAGATCATTTTGCCATTCACAATATTAATGAATAATTTTAACTTCGACTTGTTACTAGACATGGCCAAAATCCGGGCCGGTCGTGCCCGCTGGGTCGCCGAGCTCGAAAACACTGATCCTGAACCGGCACGGAGCTATACTCGTGTCGGGTCCGTGTCCGGGCCGGGTCGTGTCCGGGTCGTGCCGGGTCCGTGCCGGGTCCGTGCTTTTTTAAAAAAAGTATAAAAAAATAAAAAAAAATTGAAAAGAAGGGTCATCGACCCGGCCCTGGCCCTCCAGGCCGAGTCATGAAATGGATGACCCTTACACGGCCCGTCTGAAATCCGGGCCGCTCCCGGACCCGTGGTCAACGGGTTTGACCGGGCCGGGCGAAAAAATAAAATAAAATAGAAAGAGGCATGGAAAAAAAAAAAGAAAAGTTTGCATGCCATAAAAATACCACATGACCACATACAAAATGAACATGCAAAAGGAAGTGGCACGTGTAAGCCATAAGAAGGCTATCATTTTTGCTTATAAGGAGAGACTAGGAATATCCCGTTGTGCGATGCACAACCGGCCCAGCATTTATGTTTGAAGATTATACTCCCAATTAAACAAATAGAGTTAAAATTGCATTAAAAGACTATCGAGAAAGAAATTATGCTCACAAACGTACATAAAAAATATTGATAAAATAAACAAATTATACGACAGCAAATTGATCCAACGAAAGAGCAAAGACAATAAAGACTGTTAAAATACAACTTTTAGTTTTCAAAATAAAAGATTATTGATCAAAAATTATTTATGTCATGACCAATTTGTCGTCAAAAAATTGAACTGAGTTGAATTACTAAAATATGCGGTAGAGAGAGAGAGGTTCCTACGTAATTTTGGGAAAACAAAATATCTGCAGAAAATGAAAAAATTGAATGATGTCAAATAATTAAAAGACTGGACTAGTGGGTTTGTTAAATAATTTATGTAAGCCAAATAAAAAAAAAATTGTTTTGCTTGTGTAATTAGTTTGATCACACGGAGCTATCAACTATGTCAATTTTCAGTATGTATGAGCTCCTGACCTATTTTGTAATAGATAATTTCTTTATGAGATATCTGCCTAATTGTGTTGACTATTTATAATAACATGTCATCATTGAGAAACAATGATTTACAACAATTTTCTCTTAAAGTCGATACATTAAGATGTGCCACAAAAAAATTTTTTAGTGGTGGGTCGCACGCCTGCAGATATGTATAAAAAAAACATTTGCCCAAGACAGATCAACTTTTTCCAATCCAAAAGGGTGTGCTCGTTATTTCTGAAATTTTTGTATTTAATCACACTCTAAAATTTCTCATAATCATCNAAAGTCTAAGAACAACTTTACTGTGCGATGCAATTCATTTCAAAGTCATGCGATAAATAATCTCTAATTTACGTTACATTTTCACATGATAATGTAAATAATATTGCGTTAATATAATACTGAACTGATCACTGCACTTCAACTTTTTCTCAAGTTCTATTATTTCTTTCAAATTAATTTTTATTTTTACTTATTATTTTAACAAATATACACTAATAAATGTAACTTATTTTGTTAAATAAATTAAAATTTTGAATTTATAATTTTGCTTAAATTTTATTATATAATTATATATTTTATGTATAGTTTAATTTAGTGAACAAAATCACCTGGAAATGACATTTACAGTAATAAACTAACAAAAAGAAGGGTCCAGTATTGTAATGAATTAAAGTGCTTGTCTCTATGTAGTTCTTCCTACATATTTTGCCTCAAAATCACGCCTTCAACAATGAATTTATTTCCTTCGCGATGGAGGTGATAATACATTCTCCATATAGAAGTATCTCATTCTAAGCAGGTTTATCCATTGCACCTTTCATTTCTTTAGCCTTCTCTGCGTGTAATTAGTGTTTGCTGCGTTTTTTGTTGGATTAGCTCGGCTTCGTTTTCTTCTCTTTTTTCCGCCTATTTTCTCTTCTCTTTTTTGCCTCTCCTCTCCAGGATAGGACTTCTCAAGTCTCTTTAATCCCACTGGTTCTACGCCTTACCATGGAGGAAGAAATCACAAACAAAATGGGAGCTTTCCAATTGTCTGACAGAGAGGCATCGGCTATTCCTATTGAAGACGGGGACATTCACATTAGCTCCAAAGAATGCAAAAAAAGTCTGTTTAGAAAAATCATCGGCACCAAGAAGGCCCACCTCTTTGGATTAAAAAGAGCGATTAATCAAATCTGGCAAATTCGGTCGACAGTGGTGATAAGGGAATTGAGGCCGAATTATTTCCAGTTCATATTTGAAGAGGAAGAGGACAAATGTAAATTAGCTGCAGGTGTTGGGTGGACGTTTGAAAATCAATTTTTAATTTTAAAGGAATGGAAGGAAGACCTAAGCTCGGAGCACCCAGATTTTGAAGAGCTAGACATTTGGGTACAGGTCTGGAACCTACCTCTACATTGGTTATTAGAAGAAGTTGGCCTCAAAATTGGAAATGCTTTCAAGAAGGTTAAAAATGTGATAGTTCCACATGGAGGTCCCCTTGCAGGCAAATGCTTGAGATTGCTAGCTTCAGTTGACATTACTCAACCCTTATTGAGGTGTGTCACAATCCAACTAGGCCAAAGGAAGTTTATGGTGGATCTGAAGGATGAGAAGCTAGTGAGTATGTGTTATTACTGTGGTATCCTATGACACCTTGACAGGAACTGTGCCAGCAGAACAGAAGACATAGCCAATGATTCATTGTCAGCAGGCTTATATGGAGAATGGCTTAGAGCACAAGAATCCTTTTTCCCCTCTAGCTTTGGCCAGCCTATAAACACAGCACAGCCCACCAACATCACCACAACCCCCCAGAACACAAGCTCACTTGATCCAAAACCTACACCGGGTGCCCTAGACAGCCCAAATATTCCACCTCTGGAATCTGCTGTTAAATCCAACATTCACACTCAACCTAGCAAAGATAACCCAGAAAAGCATAGCCAACATCCTCATTCTCAACTTCCTACAAAGCCAATCCTTATAAACACCTCTCCCCAACAAGATAACCAGTCTCTAAAATTTAACATCTCTCCAATGGACTCTAAACCCACCAAACCAACACCAACAAGCTCAGAACCTACCAACACTATACAATCAAACCTTGACTTACTTCAACCCAAACAGTTGTTATATAACACAACCACCAGCCCCCCAGATTCACTCATACTAGACCATAACCCCAAGGCAGACCCAAACTTGAAACCTTTAAAAACTTGGAAAAGGAAGTCTACTCAGGGGGTCAAGCCACCTCCAGAAGCCATGAATACCAAAACCATCACAGGTAAAAGGCACCTTGTTATCTCAGAACCATCAGTAGAGGATACAACTCACAACCAAGGACAAGAGGATGGAGAGATCCAGGAGAGGAAGAAAAGCAGACTCACAATTGATGGGGTAGTGGAGGCCAGCCCAAATTGTCCCCACAAGTCCCAATGAGAGTTATGGTGTGGAATTGTAGAGGGCTGGGTGGGCCCTCTACAGTTTCCCAAATCAAGGAGATCTCAAGGCTCCACCACCCAGGTATTATCTTTCTATCGGAAACTAAGAAGAATAGGCAGTTTGTACAGACAGTATGTAGGAAACTTGGGGTTAGAGAATAATTGGGTTGCCGTTGACCCAATTGGAAAAAGTGGAGGATTGATGTTAGGATGGGACTGTAACACTCAAATCACCAGTATTCTTTTGAACTCATTCAGCATACAAGTCCAATTTTGGGACCCCTATAAATCTATTCACTTCTGGGGTATTTTTGTATATATGAGCACAGATGCTCATATCAGGGCAGAACAGAGAAACTGATTGATACAGGAAAAAGAAAAGTGGGCTCAGAACTGGTTTGTAGAGGGAGACTGGAATGACCTCACTTGCCATGAGGAGAAAAGAGGGGGCAGAAGAAGACAAGACTCATCCTTTTCAGACTTCAATGAGTTCATAGCCCAAATGGAAGTGTCTGAATTTACTTGGAAAGGGTATGGCTTCACATGGGGTAACAGAAGGGAAGGAGAAGGATTTGTCGAGGAAAAACTGGACAGGATCCTAGCATCTCTAAATTGTCTTGCAAGTTATCCGGATGCCATTGTCACAAATATCTTTAGACATGCCTCAGATCACAGTCTGCTTATGCTCAATCTACATCCTCAGTTGCACAGTACAAAGAAGAGGTACTTCAAATTCGACAGAAGATGGATAGGCAAAGAGGGTCTGCAAGAAACAGTTAGTAATGCCTAGAAAATGCAACAGGAAGGTACCCGAATGTACCAATTCTGTTCCAAAATCAAATCTGTTAGAACTGAAATTCTTAAATGGAGTAAGGGATTCAGATCAGCTCGAGAAAGGAAAATAAATCAGCTCAATGCCCAACTAGCTGAGATCAACCAACAGGGAGGCCTTAGAGACTGGAATAATTGGGACATCCTTAATAATCAACTGCATGAATGCTACAAAGAGGAGGAGCAATATTGGAGGCAAAAATCAAGAATTGAGTGGCTTAAAGGGGGTGACAAAAATTCATAATATTTTCATGCCTGCATTTTACAGAGGAGGAAAACCAACACTATTCTCAGGCTGGAAAATGAGGATAATTCTATTAGTGAGACCCCTGAGGAGATCAAGGGTTCTATTGAAGGCTATTTCAAAAATATCTTCCAAACAGAAGAATCCACAGGGGGTGAGACATTGTTGGAAAGCTTGAGGCCAATCATTACTGAAGAGCAGAATGAGGAATTGCTGAAGCCAGTGGGTCTTGAAGAGATTAGGGAAGCCCTTCTCAGCATCAACACCTTCAAATCTCCAGGCCCTGATTGTATGACCTCCCTTTCTTTCAGAAATTCTGGGATATTGTGCATTCTGATCTGTTTATTATGGTGTCTAGTATTTTTTTTAGTCCAGTCAGCTTTTGAAAGCATTAACCACTCCTTAATAACCCTGATTCCCAAAGTTTTGAACCGCACTACTGTGAGTAGCTTCAGGCCTATCAGCCTTTGCAACACTTCTTACAAAATTATTTCCAAAATCCTAGCAAACAGAATTAAGCCTTGTTTGCCTTTTTGTATTAGTGAAAATCAAGCAGCTTTTGTGCCAAATAGGCAAATCCTGGACAACATCATTGTAGCCCATGAAGTTATCCATTTTTTGAATAGGCATAGGAGTGGTAGGATGTGCTATATGGCTATTAAATTAGACATGGCCAAAGCTTTTGATAGAGTAGAATGGGATTCCATTGTTTTAATTATGCTCAAGCTTGAGTTCAATAACTCTTTTGTGAGATGGATTTATGCCTATATATCTTCTACGTCCTTCTCTTTTAATATAAATGGTGCAGTGAAGGGGTATTTGACTCCCTCTAGGGGTATCAGACAGGGGGACCCACTGTCCCCATACATTTTTATCCTAATTTCAGAGATCCTTTCTTTTCTCATTAAAAAAGAAGTTGAAGGTAATTCTTATAAAGGCATTAAAATTTCCAAACACAGCCACCCCCTCACCCACTTTTTTTTTGCTGATGACACTTTGTTGTTTGCTCAAGCTAATGAACAGCATGGCCACCTTATAATGAACATTCTTAACCAATATAACCTCATCACAGGCCAAAAGGTTAACCTACAAAAATCCACAGTTTATTTCAGCAAAAACACTAACCCTGCCACCTAAGCTAATATTTGCCACATCTTATCTGGCATTACCCCACACCAATCTACCAGATACTTAGGCCTACCTCTAGGCCTAGGTAAGTCCAAATCAGAAATTTTCAAATTTCTCATTGAAGTTGTGGAGAAAAAAATGCTTAACTGGAAGAACAAGTTCTTGTCACATGCAGGTAAGGAGATCCTTGTGAAGGCTGTGCTCTCAGCCTTGCCAGTGTATGCCATGAGCTGCTTCCTACTGCCAAAAACCCTTGTGGCAAAGTTATCTCAGAGGTTTGCTAATTTCTGGTGGAACAAAAAAGCAGATAACAAGAGATCTATCCACTGAAAATCTTGGAAGACAATCACTCAGCAAAAGGAGAAGGGAGGTTTGGGGTTCAAGGATCTAAGGACACTAAACTCAGCTCTTATCTGCAAGCAAGTGTGGAGATTACTTACCAACCCTGACTCTCTTGCAAGCAAAGTGCTCAAGGCAAGATACTTCCACAATGGGAATTTCTTCAAGGCCCAAAAATCCAGTGCTAACTCATGGTTATGGAATAATTTGCTTGAAGTAAGGGAGGATTTCAAGAAAAAAGCAAGGTTCTAGATCCAAAATGGTAAATCTGCTCACATATGGGACACCCCATGGCTGCCAGGAGTTCCCCTCAGTATTCCACAAAAGCTCTCCCACTCATCTCCAACACTTGAAAAAGTCCAGGACCTGTTAGACTCAACAAGGAGAAGGTGGAATGTGGACTTGCTTGAAAGCAATTTTAATCCAAGAGATGTGCAAGCTATTCTGAAGATCAAAGGTCTTGAGCCAACTAAACCAGACTTTCTGATTTGGGAGGATGGAGCTAAAAGAACTTTTTCAGTAAAAGCTGCTTATGCACATCTGCTGGAGAAAAAGTTGAACCTTATGGACATTCCTGAAACAAGTTTTGACCCTGCAGCTCTTATTAAAATGAGAACAAGAACTTGGAAACTTAATATCAAAGGAAAAATTAAACACTTCCTGTGGTCTTGTCTCAACAACACTGTGCCAACCAACATTAATCTCATCAAGAAGGGGGTGGAGGTTGATCTCATATGCAGTAGATGTGGATTGGAGGTTGAAACCCTAGAGCACTTGCTATTTCACTGCCTTATTGCTGAAATGATGTGGCATTTTGCTCCAATCAGCTGGGATGGCCTCAAAGAAAAATCTCACTGCTTTAGGGACTGGTGGCTGGGAATTTGCAACTTGCCTCACACAGCCATCTCAGAAGATAGGATCCAGCTCACAACCTATCTTCTTTGGTGGCTGTGGAAAACCAGGAATCTCTGGGTTTTTCAAAACATTAAAAGAGAGGGGAAGGCTGTGATAGATATAGCAACAGCCGAATGGATGGAATGGTGTAACCTGCCTTAGTTTTCTTTTGCTGATTAAGTCTTATTTTGGTTTTGGGTGCTTCCTGCCATAGCTTTGCTGTATAGGTTTTATTCTGGGTTAGTCTGTTTCTTAGTTGTTGTTTTGCACTGCTTGGGTAGCTAGAGTTGTGAATAGCCCTTGCAGTTTTCTCTTTTTTGGTTTGTATGTTAGCAGGTAGTTTAGTTGGCTGGAGGTTGCTAGGCATGTAGCAGTGGCAGCCTCTTTTTGCAGTGTTTGTCCTCTTTTGGGCAAGCCCAGAATTGTCCTGGAATATTTCGGGCACTAAGCTTTGCCTTAGCCGAAATTTTCCCAGGCAATTCTGTTTTCTTTTCATTCCTCTTTTGTACATTTTGTTGAGTAATAGAATCTGCAGTTTCGATAAAAAAAAAATAATGCATTTATTTGAGGCATGCCACGTGGCACTCCGAGAGGGATCTAACTCCCCTTTATTAAGATATAGAGGGAAGAGAGATACGAGATTTTTTTTTCTTAATAATAAATAACGGGGTAGATCATGAAGAAGTTTTAAATTTTGAATTAAATTTTTAATATTTATTTGTAAAATTATATATATTTCTCAGAGGGTCCGTTTGGTTATGTTTTATTGACTGAGATTGAATAATTCTCACTAGAAAGTTTATGTGTTATCCTTTTGAAAAAAGAGGGCTATTAATTTGTTTGGTTTATTATAACCTTTAAGTCAAAATTACTTTTTTGTCCTTTTATTTAAAATTTCAATTTACAAATGTCTGCTTTTCATCCCCACGACCCAAGCTTGAGTGGGCGCAAAATTTCAGATTCCATCTGAAATTGCAAATTCATGAAAACACAATTTCAAAATTAAAAAGCCTTCAAAACGACCAATCCCTTTGCTCATAGTAAATTAAAAAACACACAAAAAAATCCAAATCCCAATTTTTACAACAAAAAATTCATTCTTGAAAGAAATCAGATATTCTTAAATTGATACAAGACAAGACTCTACAACAGAAATTCTGATTTTTTTCCTTCTTTGTTCGTCGAAAATCCAAACGCTGAGAATATCCTTGTCGGAAAACAGTATTACTGTAGAATTCAGTGGGGATTGCGTCGTGCCGTTGACAGACTGTAGAAGGAGGGTTTTGAGCGATTTAAAGGGTTGGAGGGGAGTGGGCCCCGCAGGTCTACCGACTTGAGCCTAGGTTTCTGGACGGCGCCGTCGGGACTGCACGTGACGCTGCCATCGAAGGTCCAAGAGCGGAGGCAGCGACAAAGTCATTTAGGGTTGACTTTCTTTGGAGCAGAGCTAGGGCTGGGTCGTCAATGGAACTGGAGACGAAACCTGAGATGGTGAGGAGGAGAAAAAATATCTTAGGAGGGTTGGAGAAATATGTGGAAGAAAAGAGCTATAGGGAAATTTAAAAGAAATAATGAAATATTGTACATCCCACTAAAAAGTGAGATATATAATATTTAAATATCTTAATAATTGATGATTATTGCAACCATTTAATTAGATGGAAATATCCCCCTTAATATAATTTGAAAACGTGCTGAGCCTAAATGGTTGGCTCGCACGTTTCGGAAGCTTACTTGGCAACATTACATGCTTCGGCTTTTGGTTCGGATGAAAATTAATTAATACAATTCTATATTCTTTTTGGTTTGGAACCTTAATCTTATTGTTTTCTCTACAATGCAACTTAATTGGATTGATCCTAATATTTAAATAATTGGATTGTGTTTATCCTATTCATTTGTACTAGGAATTCTTATAGGATTAATAATTGCAACTTAACTAATATTATAATATATTGCTTTCCCCCAATTTATGCGTTTCTTTGCCGTGTATTAACTATAGTAAGTCCCCCAATTTATTTTTTATTCCGATAGTAAGTTGTTTTTATCTAATTTAATGTTTCATGTACCAAATTTGAGGGGAAGAACTAATTCATCATTCAAGAAATCTGAAGTGGATTAACTATCTCATTTAATAAAAGTGATAAGAAGATCGGGCCTTCTCCCTGAGACACTATACAAAAGGTAATTCATTATAAACTTTATTTTTTATTCCGATAGTAAGTTGTTTTTATCTAATTTAATGTTTCATGTACCAAATTTGAGGGGAAGAACTAATTCATCATTCAAGAAATCTGAAGTGGATTAACTATCTCATTTAATAAAAGTGATAAGAAGATCGGGCCTTCTCCCTGAGACACTATACAAAAGGTAATTCATTATAAACTTTATTTTTTATTCCGATAGTAAGTTGTTTTTATCTAATTTAATGTTTCATGTACCAAATTTGAGGGGAAGAACTAATTCATCATTCAAGAAATCTGAAGTGGATTAACTATCTCATTTAATAAAAGTGATAAGAAGATCGGACCTTCTCCCTGAGACACTATACAAAAGGTAATTCATTATAAACATCTTTTTTTTTTTATTATTATTATTAATAAGCCTTACTGGTTCTTCTCCTTATGGATCATTCCATTGCTACAGAGTCTCACTCTCCGTTCCGTATTTTTTTCTTCAATTGGTTTTATTTCTTGCAATATTCGTTTTTATGTTGGAAGATTGTGCTGCATCACTCATTAATTTGGTTATATATATTTGTTCATTTTCATTGTGTGGTTCAAATAATGGATAAAGAAAATGCAAAACTTAGTAGACACATTAGAATGGCGAAAATGAAAGAAAAACGTGGACTATCTCCTGCAGGCATTGAAACTATTGTTTCGAGTGAGTATATTTTATGGGACTCACTTTTAAATTTTGTATTATATATAATATATACAACTTACATAAATTAATTGTTAGATTAGAGGACAATATTTTATTTATGTAAAATGCAAACAATATATATTTCTTTGATCCAAATATTTTGTTTTGCAATGACTATTAATAAGAGTCAATGATGACATTGTCTAACGTCGGATTGTACTTGCCTAATCCTGTATTCAGTCATGGTCAACTTTATGTTGCATTATCTAGAGTTAAAAGTAGGAGAGACTTGAAAATTTTGTGTTGTGATAAGGATGGAAAAATTGTAAATAAAACTATTAATGTTGTGTACAAAGAAATTTTACAAATTTTGAAATAACATCGACTTTGATATTTTCTATTTTTGTACTTTTATACGACAACATGTGTTTTTTCTATTATTTTATGTTTTATATTTTTTTTTTCAAACAACCTGTGTAGTACACGGATGTCGTACTAGTTGTGAAATAATATTTAAATATCTTAATAACTGACCGGCCATTACTCATTTCAAGGGTCTGATTATGCAATCAAACATTTTAATTAGATGGAAATATTGTGAAATGGAGTGATATTGTGCATAGTTCATCTAACCAAACGGACATTCAAAGTATTAGGGTGTATTGAAAGGAAAGAAGATATGCTTTCCTCTACCTTTTTCCCATGCCTCAATCTCCATTCCCAAAACCCTTCACATCTCTCGCAATCTTCGCATCTCTTTCTACCATTTCTCCTGCATCTCGAGGCACCAAAGATTAACATATAATCATATATTACTCCGCCATTCGAATCGCCAATTCTGTGAATTTTCAGTTTTTCAGGCAAAGATAGAAAAAAAAGGAGGAGTATTTTTTTTGTATGATCTTTCTTGTTCCATTCTGGTCAAGGCCATGATGCCGGATCCGGATCTGATTCACTACGCCTGCATTGCCAATGGCACAACCGTGTTGGCGGAGTTCAATTCCAAAGACGCCGCGCTCGGCGAGATCGCCTCCAAGTGCCTCGACCACACGCCGCGGTTCCACTCCCGATTCACCCATACCGTCCGTTCAAGGACCTACGCGTTTCTCATCGACGGCGATTTCGCCTACTTCGCAATCTTCGACGTGAGGTTGGAGAAGCCCGATGGTTTCGCTTTTTTGACGAGCGTCCGGCGCGCCTTTGCTATGGTTTACAAAGGCCAAAATGACCTTCGAAACCTGAGCTCGCATTGCTATCAGGGCGAATTGAGTCCGGTTTTCCGGAAATTGGTCGGATCATGTTTGGATCACGGGAAGGGAATGGGCTCCCCGACAGAATCACGGTTGAGCCACAGTGGGGGTTTTCAGCCCGTGCCAAGCCCGATCAGAGGGCGGCCCAAGCCTCTCGGGGAGAACGGGCTGAAGAAGACGAAGAACAGGTCTTTGGTTTGGGAGACGAAAGAGAATGAAGAGGACATTGGAAATGGCCGGAATACCCAAAAAAACGGGGGTTTGTACTCTGGCGAAATATCCAGCCACCAAAAGGCTAAAAAAGTCTGGAAAAAGCAGGTTTGGGTCGTGTTGTCCCTTGATTTGGTCATTTGTGTGGTTTTGTTTGGTGTATGGCTGTGGGTTTGCAGTGGATTCAAGTGCATTGATTAGCTGAACCCGGAAAATGTGTGTTTTTTCAGCTGTTCTTGGCTGTTTTCTCATGTTTACCTGTAATGATGAGCGACTTTTTCTTTTCCCCCTTCCCCTAAATCACTTATGGCCGATGTGTTAATAGAAGTTTCAATTGTATACACTTTTTTCCCAATCTATTGGATGCTTTTGAAGTTGTGATCATGTTTAAACATTTGTTGGAGGTTGTGCATTTCTTCTTCGTATCGTTTCGTGTTGTACTTCCTTGAATATTGTCTATTGTTTGTGGAGAAGTAAGCATTCGTCGTCATGGTTAGGATGTATCGGGAAGGAAAATGTCAGTGCGTTGCATTCCTAGATGGTTTTACACTTTCACATTCTAGAAAGTTTTGGCTATTAAACTGTGATCTTAATTCCATAAGTTTCATTTGATGAGATTTAATTTGAGATTTCGAAATTTTCTTCGTTGTTATAGGATTAAGTCTATTGTACTCATTTAATTGCTTTCTGGTGTGACTGTATTAGTTAGGTAATCATCAAAACAATTTGATCATAAGATATTGTGATCATGACGTGTGCATTTTTCCGTGGTCTAGTTGGGCAAAGATGCAACTTTTGAAAATCGACTAGCGACTTATCTGCTCATTGAAACTTATGTCCGTCAAAATTATGTTTTTAATCCTGTCGAAAACTGCAAAAGATCCCTATGATTTTAGTGGGATAGTGAAGTGAATTAGGAAGATATGCTCCAGGATGATCTTTGCTAAATACTTTATAAGAATTTCCTCAAATGCTTGCTTTTTTTTTTTTCCCCCTGTTCTACATATCATGTGCATGCCCATTATCATTTCCTTGCACTCTCTTGCTGAAGTAAAATTTTTTTTTTTTTTTTAATTTCTTAAAGTACTTCCATTTAAGTGACAATTAACATAGAAATATCCTGTTGGCTACCTATCTCGACCTCGACTTGACTATTCGCTTGAGGGCGAGTAACCGATACAAAATGTCGGTTTATATGCATTTCTCCACTCCATGCTTTAAATTTATCCTCCTTGAATTGTTTGTCGTTATCATGAAACTATAACTTGTGGCACACCATACCTACAAAAGATATTGGCCATAAGAAAATTGACCACCTTCCCCACAACATCCCTCATGAATATTCCTTAATACGTAATCCCCTATTGCATTGCGAAATGAGGCCTTACTTGTGATTTCTTATTTTCTTATACAATATTTCATGCAGAGAAAATAATAAAGCCTTGAAAATAACATTAATATGTGGGTCTCACGCAGAGAACTATCATCAAGTCTTTTCACCAATTACAGTTGAACATCAGTTTATTCAAGTTTACCACATACTGTAGTAAGTGTGCATATACTTAGTCATCTACACAGCAGTAGAAGTAGGACACTTGGGACTATAACTGTTGCAAGCCATCTCACAGTTAAGAACATCAGTTAACTCTCTCCACCAAATTTGGTAAAGCTCAATTTGTTCTTTTCAATGAAAATATAACAGATTAAGTTAAACTTTACACGTGCCAAAACATTTATAGAACGTTTTTGTGGAAATTTGAATATAGCGTAAAGCTGAGCTTGTAAGCTCGGTAGCTATAAGAACAACTGCAGCGTAAAGTCGAGCCTATAGCTTGGTAACTAAAAATCGAATACGACATAAGGCCAACGTTCTAGATAGGTAGATAAAAGCGAAAGAGCTCAGCATATACCTGGACATATGGCTTAGTAGATGAAGACAAATGTATTATCATAAAGCCAAGTAGTAAGACTTGTGGCTAACAGAAACTTCAAGCATACAAGATAACAAGTAAGTCTGGATAGCTAAGATCAATACTAAAAGCACAAAAGCTTAACGCCAAGTTAATAAAGTTTTGTTGCTTAAATAAGATTGTAGTGTAGAGCCGAGCTAACAAGCTCGGTGACTAAGAGAAGTATGTATCGTGGAGTCGAGCTACTAGCTCGCTAGTTACAACGGCATAAAGCTAGCTACAGTCTAAAAATGCATGAAAAGATAAAAACAAATCTATTGTTTCGGCTATTGTGATGAAAAGCGTAAGGTCGAGCTCCTGATTCGGTTGTGATAAAGAGCGTGAAACCAACCTCTTTAGTTCTTTTTCTATATAGGTTGTTTGTTTGAGTAGGGTCCAAAGTTAAAGTCTCTAATTGAGGATATCTCTAAGAAGACTTTGACTTTACACACATGTAGTGCTAGGCATATTGATAACGCTGAAGCCATAGGCTCGTGGGGCCCAGACAAAGACCCGACGCCATAGTCCTACGAGAAATACTTGGCAAATGAATGATTTTTCTACTCTTAGACGAGTCTTAAGCCAACAAGCTCATCTAGAGTGGGGGCCTAGATGATGTAGCATCCATAATAGTAGTCCAATTCGACTCGGGTTCTACGTGGTATTTGTTTAAATATTTTTAAAGATTTAGGAAACATTTTAAAGAGATATCCAAGCAAAATTTATGTACATATGTGGCTTGATTCTGGAGGATTTAGCTCCTTGGTTATTTACGGAACCTTTTGTCTTTTGGAATAAGTAATTAAAACTCATAAATAAGGAATATAGGTTCACTTTCTACACATACGCTCTTAATAAGCTCTGGTTATGACACATCTGTATAAAATTTTAACTTGAAAGTTGGAGTGTCTATGTTGAGCCCACACCCAATGCAGATTGATCCAATTCGTGGTTCAAAGCAATCAAGACGAGACATATTAACTGAAAATCTTGGTCAGCCGATATTTCGAACACATTACATGTCATATAAGATTTGAGTCCACTTATATGTCATGTAAGAAAAATAGAACCAAACGTTGAGGATGCTAACTGCTCACATAAACACAAACAAACACGCCATATATAAATAGATGCACTTGATGGTTATAAGAACATCTTCATTGCAATAGCATATTTTTAGAAGTCCAATGCCACATAAGCGAAAGACTTTCTTTTCAAGAAGGCTTCTCCAATACCATGTGCATGTGATTTTTTTTTTTTAAAAAAATAAAAATAAAAAAAATAGACAGGATGATCTATATGGAAGGAAGTCCACTTTTTCACTTCAAAATAAACCATCACTCACATAAAAATTTTATTTATATTATCAACTAACTTTATTTCTTTATAAAATCTTGTGCATTGGAGTAACAATAAAGTCTATTTATCTACGCTATCATTATTGGTACTAGTACAGTTTCGTGCGATGCACGGGGTTTATTATCTCCGTCCCTTTTATAAAGCAATGTTCAGTTAAAATTCAAAGTACTTACTAAAGGAAAGATCATGCCATTAATAGTAAATAAATTAATAAATACAATGATAATAAAATCTATATATTATTGAACACTTCCTTATATACGACGTTCATGGTTTGATTATTTGGCACGTCATCGTCGCCGCAAATTAGGACTTTCAAACCCATTTCTGTTTGTGACACGGGAGACAACAACATACAATTGACTATGACTAAACACTGGTTTCTTAAGAAAGAAGCCCACATGCGATAATGATTGTTCCTGACTCTTGTTTATAGTCATGTTGTAAGAAAACATAATGGGAAACAATTAATCCAATAACATCTACAAAAATATAAGAAAATGCATCATATTGAAATGTATAACATATAAAATAGTTTATTACAGATTTTNNNTT